ACGAGGACGGGCTGAAATAGGCCAGTTTGGTGGTCGAAAGCCCCGAGGCACTGGTCGAAAACCCTGAAGCACTGCTTGAAACCCCGAGGCACTGGTCGAAAACCCTGAGGCACGGTCGAAACCCCGAGCCACTGGTCGAAAACCCTGAAGCACTGGTCGAAACCCCGAGCCACTGGTCGAAACACTTCGACGGAAACCAACCACCAATCAGCGCCACCGATCCCAGGTAACCGAAACGAGATCATCCCGGGTCACCAAGGGAGGATTCAGTCTGATTCCACAACTGGTTCAACGAGATCTTCCACTAAGAAAATCGTAATCTCACCCTTCCGTCACCCTAGGTAACGAGATGTCTCAGTACGTTATTTACAGTTATTGGGTTAGTTACAGAACCCACCCTGCCCCTTGCAACTAAAGATATCTCCCACTTAAGATACTCTTATCAGCCTCGCTCATCAAACCCCCCCAAGTAACGAGATCTTTCACAAAGAATATCGTTATCTGCCTCGCTGATCCCGTTCCCCAACAGGTAACGAGATCTTCCACAGAAAATATCGTTATATATCTCACTCGCCCCTATTCTCGTTGATAAAAGGACCAACGATTTAATGGGTCTGTATTGCAATTTCCTATGGCTTGTTGAGCTGGGGAGCATTTAGATTAAAACCCAGCAAATCATCTGATATTCGTGCAAATATATGAAAATGTTTCACATTTGTCTTGTCTGAGAATATTAGCTGTTGACTGTGAGGCAGTTGAGAAAAGTGTCTTGAAAGATATTATTAATAGGAACGTTAGAAGAACTCTCCAGACACCAAACAGAACGCCTTGAAAGAAACCAACGTCGTCTATGCCTTCACATGCCCACTTGGGGACTGTCAGTCCCAAAGATCTCAGTATATAGGCAAGACAACAACGTCTCTTTCTAGGCGATTAACAATGCACAAACAACAGGGCTCCATCAAGGAGCATATAATCTCCTCACACAACCAGACCATCACCAGAGAAATCTTAACAAGCAACACAGAAATTATCGACAGATACAACGATAACAGGAGACTCGACATCAGCGAGGCACTACACATCAAAAAGTCAAAACCAGCAATCAACAGCCAATTAACACATAATTACATTCTACCCACTTCAAGACCCCGAACCAGCACAGAAGCAAGAAGATAAAACACGCAATATACCCATTGTTTCGTGTTCTGTCTTTTCCCATTGATTTGTGTCCTGTCACCTCACCCAAAAAACGAATATAAGCACGATCTGAGTATGTAAAATTGTCTTTGAAAATGTAAGAAGTGTCTTGCGAAACGCTTCTAGGCGTCAGACCATAAATAAAGTGTGAAAATGAACTTTGGAGAGTTAATTTTTCAACTACCCCCGACAGTGAAGAAAAACATAAGAAATATTGAGAAGATTCGTGTTAGAATCATTAATCTTACCCTTTCGGTCATATTCAACAACATATGATTGATTATATATATATATATATATATATATATATATATATATATATATATATATATATATATATATATATATATATATATATATATATAATGGTGCAATGAGAAGTAATAGTGCCAAAAATAAATCTTTATCTTATAAATCTTTAAAACACTTTATCTTTGAATAGGAATAAACGGATTATATTAAATTTGATATATGATGCAGACCTTGTAGTAGAAATTATTGGCAAATATGTAGATTATACAGAGAATAAATCCCACATACCGCAGACCACACCTGGGCCAAAAATGCAACTGACGTCTCTAACAACAACAGCTACAACACTAACAATAACAACAACAACATCACTAACAATAACAACACCTTCCAAAAGCCCACAACAACAGAGGCGATAAATAATAACGAAGCAATTAGGATTTCTCATCTATCTTGCTAAAGTTATAACCCCCCCCCCCCGAGACAATATTTATATTGCATACTCAACACCACCACCACCAACACTCATCACCCCAACACCCCAACAACAATATATATATATATATATATATATATATATATATATATATATATATATATATATATATATATATATATATATATATTGGTAGCAGTCTTTCCTGTAGACAAATATTATTAAATATGACCGAAAAAGTAAGATTAATAATTCTAACACGAATTTTCTCAATATTTCTTATGTTTCTTTTCACTGTCGATGGTAATTGAAAAGGCAATTCTCCAAAATTCATTTTTATTTCATTTATTTCAAATTTCATTTACAATATATATATATATATATATATATATATATATATATATATATATATATATATATATATATATATATCCTTAACGGATTATAAGATACCAAACGCCATCAAATCATAGTTCAGTGAACCTAACGATACTAATATAGCATCAGCTTTTTCTTTCAAAATAGTAGAGATCTTTATTTTTATAAATGGATGGAATTCAGAGAAAGGGGACGAGAGAGATATCACATAATATATATACATATAAGGTCCCAATACACACAACAAAGAAACACCTTACTGGCTGGAAAGATATGATAGTAAAGGCAGACTTAGACCAACTGATTAGTAAAGAGGAGATAGACACATAGGGAGTAAAGAGGGACATAGACACAATGAGCAGTAAAGAGGACATTGACACTATGAAAGAACACTTTGCATCTCTAGGAGTCCACGTTAATCAAATATATTCAGGAGACAGTTAGATAAGTTCGTGCAGGAAGTGCTGGATCCACCGGGCTGTGGTGGATGTGTGGACGTGCTGCAAGTTGATCCTAGCAACAACAGTCTTCTGGATCAAGTCATCATGAGACGAGTCTAGCCTCAGGCCGGGCTGGGGCAGTAGCTGAATTGGTAAAGTAAACTCTGTCACCATCACTTTCATCATCATTGTCATCATTACTCATCATCATCATCCCACCCACTACCACTCATCACCGCCATTAAAGTGATGAATGATGTAGATCCCGTCGCTGATCAGGGCTTCACCATTCATTCGCTCACTATCATTACTACCACCATTACAACCACCATTACAACCACCATTACAACCACCATTACAACCACCATTACAACCACCATTACAACCACCATAACTACCATCATCACTACCATTATTGCTACTATCACAACCATTACAGCCACCCCCCCACGACACACCTCACCACAACTACCATAACTACACCCACACCACACCACACCACAACCACAACCACCCCCACACCACACCACAACCACAACCACACCACAACCACACCACAACCACCCCCTACCTTACTACAACCACCCACACACCACATCACAACCACACCACAACCACAACCACCGACCACACCACAACCTCACCACAACCACAACCACCGACCACACCACAACCACACCCACATAATTATCACTACCATTACCACCAATATTAAACAGAACAAAGGCTGAGAGAAGTAATTATAAGACTTAAACCCCATGTATGACTTGAAATCTTAATTGCAGTTGCCAAATTAAGCAGAATAACAGCAGCAATAGTTATATATATATATATATATATATATATATATATATATATATATATATATATATATATATATATATATATATATATATATATATATATATATATATATGTCGTACCTAGTAGCCAGAACGCACTTCTCAGCCTACTATGCAAGGCCCGATTTGCCTAATAAGCCAAGTTTTTATGAATTAGTTGTTTTTCGACTACCTAACCTACCTAACCTAACCTAACCTAACTTTTTCGGCTACCTAACCTAACCTAAACTATAAAGATAGGTTAGGTTAGGTTAGGTAGGGTTGGTTAGGTTCGGTCATATATCTACGTTAATTTTAACTCCAATAAAAAAAAAATTGAGCTCATACATAATGAAATGGGTAGCTTTATCATTTCATAAGAAAAAAATTAGAGAATATATATTAATTCATGAAAACTTGGCTTATTAGGCAAATCGGGCCTTGCATAGTAGGCTGAGAAGTGCGTTCTGGCTACTAGGTACGACATATATATATATATATATATATATATATATATATATATATATATATATATATATATATATATATATATATATATATTATTATTAAATATGACCGAAAAAGTAAGATTAATAATTCTAAACGAATTTTCTCAATCTTTCGTACATTTCTTTTCACTGTAGCAGGAAAGACTGCTACCAAAATATACTAATATATATATATATATATATATATATATATATATATATATATATATATATATATATATATATATATATATATATATATATATATATATATATATATATATTTTAAAACATTGAGGCATTGCAACCTGAAACAAATGGTAAAAACATTGTGTGTACTGCAGGGTCGGCGTTCGATCCCCTGTGGTCTAAGTGGCTGGGTGTCATTCCTTTGCTCCTGTCTCATATCCATGTTCCTTGTCCTCATATGCCGGACCAACCAGGCTGTGGTGGATATGTTGGCCTGCGGGCCGCTCCAAGCAGCAACAGCTTGTTGGACCAAGCCCTCACAAGTCAAGCCTGGCCTCGGGCCGGTCTTGGGGGAGTAGAAGAACTCTCAGAACCCCATCCAGGTACAATCCAGGTTTGTTACCCATGACATAGAGGCTGTTACCCATGACATAGAGGCACTTACCTATAATGTAGAGAGTGCTACCCATAACGTACAGGCTCTTACCCATAACATAGAAACACTTACCTATACCCTGAAGGCACTTACCCATAATGTAGAGGCTGTTACCCATGGCCTAAAGGTACTTACCTATCACGTAGAGGTATTGACCTATTATTTAGATGCCCTTATACACCCATAACGTTAAGGCGCTTACCCATAGAGGTAAGAGGCGATTAACCAAAAGGAAGAGAGGCTTACCCATGAATTAGATGGATGTAGATGTATTACCCATAATTAGATGACCCTTACCCATGAGGCAGAGTCTCTTACCCACGAGGTAGATGCACTTATCCATGAGATAGAGGGACTTACCCAAGACATAGAGGAAGGTAAGCATGGTTCAAGTCCTTCCGGTTCACTGTAGGTGTCGTCACTATACACTCACAGTCAAGAGAGCTCACCATACATCATAGTGATCACTATTAACGCGGTGATGCGTTACCTGGGTCAGCATCGTCACTTATGTGGTCATTAACACCTGAGTTAATCATCGCTCCATCTATTCCGAGTGATGTGGCAAGATTTACTGACTCCGGTCACCTCTGATGTCAAGCTAAGGTCAAGCTCTTGTCAGTCAAATTGGACCGGTCGGTCAAATGACGGTCTCGCTTCTTGCGGGTCAGCGTTCGATTCCCGTTGGTGGAAAAGAGGACATCTGACCTTCAATCTGTCGTCTTAACCCAGTTGCTTGTCCTCATGTTTCCTCGGGTGCAGGAAAGTTGACTTAGTTTTGTCTCGGTGACTATTCACAGCTGATCTTGTCAACACGGCTCTTACAGGCAGGAAGGTAAGAGTTTAGGGAGAAGTCAAACGGAGTGGCAGTGTCCCGTCGTCAGTATTGACAGTGACAAGTATCCTTGACTAACCTCGTGTTCCTCTCCAGTGTAACACGTGACTTACACCATCACTGCCAAAAACAAGCTAAATTTCACAGTTACTCTTGTCACTGAGAGCATGAGAACTGAAGCACTGTGTACATATATCTCGTGAGTCTAGTTTGTAAGTCATGAATCCTTTGGGAAGGTTTTTACAACGAGACCCCATGTGTAGACAGGTAATAAAGTTGATTCAGAACAGTACAGGAATCACACACTAGAACCTATGATTGCATTGTCCAAACCTCAGAGACTGTTAAATTGATCCCAGTTCTTGCAATCCACTTATAGAGAATTGAATAATTTTTTTCCTGTATTAATCACCTCAAAATACCAAATAATTATCTCATGCTGTTCAGATCCATTCACAGGATTGCAGGGCCAATCACTGAGCGTTCTCGTCACTCGATCACACACACGCGGAAGTATCGAAATTCCGTGTTATCTGACGTTATCATAACAGCTTTACTTAGTAAAGAGAGAAGAAGTTGCTACGAGCATCATCATCACCACAGTCCCCCCCATACGAGGCGTCGGTGATGTATAGTGCGGTTCTGGGTACATAGGAGAAGAAGGAGGAGCGAGCAAGAGTGGGGGAAGCAAGGTCGCACACACACACACACGCGAGAGCGCGACCTGCTCCGACGGTGGCCCGAGCCGTACTGAATGGTCCGCCCTCACTGCAACTATAGTGCCTCTGGTTTACTCTGTACCATCTGAGTGCCACAGCTTCCCGTCGCTAACAGCTGGAGAGCGCATGCTACGGCCTCCCTAGCATCACCACCTTTATTATCTCCCGTCTCTATCATCTTCAGCTTTATTATCTCCCGTCTCTAACGTTATCTTCACTACTTTCCAAGCCTCCACACTATCATCAAAGACTCCAACATCGCCACAACTACCATCAACATCTTCATCATCGCCTCCTATCACCCAGCCACGACCTTCAACATCACAACTGCTTTTTTTTGCTACCAGAACAACCACTACCTCCTCCTCCATCACCACTCCCATCCACTTGCGAAACCAGTACATCTTTCCTCGAACATATCGAATTCATTCGTATTTATTAATCAGTTTACGAGCCCCGAAGCTCGTAAGTTATCTATACCAAATAATAAACGACTTCGCTGCGTTTACGAGATCGCAATATTTTTTTTTTTACAAATATAAACAAAGTTCTTATGATCGAGAAAAGATGCACAGCTTTCGTACAGGGACACGTAAATGATTATCGAATTCTGACCCAGATGGTTCTGTCCTAAAAAGGCTCTATAGGCGAGCCACTCCCTTCACCAAACATTCCGCCATCGTCCTCCACAGGTGTAGAGGGAGCTATACCACAGGAAGGTCTAGAAGGAGCTATACCACAGTGGTGTTCGATTAGCCTTGGCCATTCAAACAGAAAGAGCTTCCTTATCCCCCAGGGCTTCCAGTGAGAACAGTTAATACCGCTGCCTATTCCTATCCACCGCAACCTCCCTATCCAATACAATCACCCTATCCACCAGAACTCCTCTAGTGCCCCGGGATAGCTGCCGAAGTGCCTGATAGCCTACAGCATGGCATTCCATACTGACTGCAGGTCAGGGCCCCCTGCTATTTAATATTCCTGAGTGCCACGGTGGAACGACAGAGCTTTTTCAGTGCCAGGACGGTGCCATGGCCAACACGGGTGTGGAGAGCCATGGTGCCAGGCTACGCACGTCCACACCATACGCACACACGCACGTAGTCGTACAGGCGGACATTAAAAAAACGCACACGAGGGGACCTTCCAACGGTGACAGGCTAGAGGCGAAAAGTGAGATCGAAGCTCAGTGCTTCCTGTGACAGGGTTTCCCGCCTCATATGTTATGAGTTACGGGCCCCGCATGAGGAGAATATCATTGTGTTTGAAGTTCGTGGCTTCAGCTCTCATTACTTGCGAGGAGAATGAGAGGAAGAAGATGATTGAAGCAGAAATTTAAACGACCAAAAAACTACAGCAGATGATGATGTTTCTTTAAAAAGTTATAAGAAGAGGAACCTCTAGAGTCACAACCCATAACTCACAACCTCTAGAGTCACAACCCACACTCGTCTCGAAGCATGAGGACACAGCCGTGAGACACAGCCCATGTGTGTGTCCCCAGCTGTGTCCCAGCAAGGAAGGGGACACATTACACAACGCGACGGGCGAGGCAGCGTTGACCACCACAGTACTGACGTATTTGGAGGTGTGAGAGTATTGGAGCGGATCCACCCTGCTGTTGGTGAACGCGTGCGTGTCCGCCTCGACCTGACAGCTGGGTATTAGTGTGATCATATTACCAAGGCCAGGTGGTTTCTGCATGAATGTGATGAGAGAGAGAGAGAGAGAGAGAGAGAGAGAGAGAGAGAGAGAGAGAGAGAGAGAGAGAGAGAGCGTGGGGGAAGTGGAATGGTTTATACCCCTTGTTGCGTGTGTATATGTTTGACTTAGTTGTGTAAGTATTTGCCTAGATAAATACATACACACACAGAAACACGTGCGCATGCATACTCAAACGCACATTAAAAGTATTATGATAATATGTTTTTGCTTGTGTGTGTGTGTGTGTATTTTTGTTTCCACACACACACACACACACACACACACACACACACACACACACACACACACACACACACACACACACACACACACACAACTGGGGGGCCTGGTAGCCTGCCTGGTCCACTCAGCTACCTGCACACCCCTAGTGTGTGTGTGTGTGTGTGTGTGTGTGTGTGTGCGTGTGTGTGTGAATGTAAGTGTATAATTCTCTAGCCTTCAAGTGATGAAAATGTTCGAAAAGTTATCATCATGTAGGCGAAAATGGAACAATTTGCAGAGATTCCGAACGTCACGGACGGCAGTCAAAACTGGTATGAGAAATTTATTTGATGCCATGTGCTGGTGAAACTGTTATTTGAGCCTGTCGCCTGACAGCTGGGTGGGCAGCGCTTCGGATTCGTAGTCCTGAGGTTTCGGGTTCGATCCCCGGCGGAGGCAAATGGGCAAAATGTTTCTTTCGCCTTGATGCCCCTGTTACCTAGCAGTAAATAGGTACCTGGGAGTTAGACAGCTGCTTCCTGAGGGTGGAGGCCTGGTCGAGGACCGGGCCGCGGGGACACTAAGCCCCGAAAGCATTTCAAGATAACCTCAAGAAGTCTGGGCGGTCTTACCTAATTGTGCTTGTGGTGGTTAAGCTTCGGCTCCTTGGCCCCGAATCTCTGTTTTCATTCATCTGGTGAACAGGTTTTCAAGCCTATTGGGCTCGATCTAGAGCGGTGTACCGAACAGTTATCTCTGATTTATTATATTGTGCAGTAATTTTATTATTTTGTTCCCATTAACCCATTGTTTTAGCTCTATTAGTCATTCCTCGTAACTCATACCCCTCTGTTCAGGGTTTGGTCTTTTGGTATATCTCTGGACTTTTTCAAACTTCATTTCGTATATGACTTGGTAAGAACTACACCTACACGCTGCATATTCCAGGATTGGTCTGACATATGTGGCATATAAAGTGTTGAATGAATCGTGATTCAGATTAATTGCAGTTCCTATAATGGTTAACACAGCCTGCACCGCTGGTGATATTTGCTTGATCAGTGCTTCGGCAGACAGGTTCAGTGTGCCATAACCACACACCAGGTGACTCTCTCATAATTCTTCATCTTTAAAGCCTTCATCTCTCATTCGGTACCTCGTGAATGGCTTCCAGAGAGAGAGAGAGAGAGAGAGAGAGAGAGAGAGAGAGAGAAGAGAGAGAGAGAGAGAGAGAGAGAGAGAGAGAGAGAGAGAGAGAGAGAGAGAGAGAGAGAGAGAGAGAGAGAGAGAGAGAGAGAGAGAGAGAGAGAGAGAGACAGAGAGAGAGAGAGAGCGTATGAGAAACAGAGGCAAGCCAGCCTCCCACAGTGAGCACAAATCATGTATTTTCTCTGGAACAAGCGAGCTGTTGAGGCCTTAATTACTCCCGTACATATCCGGCCCCAGCCGTCAAAAATCCCCATCACTGGTGCGAACAGCGGACCGGAAACTTGTAGCATGACTGGAGGGGGAAAGGAAGTTATGGAAGTTATTATATTCAGAGCGGAGCAAAGAAAATGGGAAGCTCCGGAACTATGACGGAGCGAGAGTATTAAAATGTTGCGTAGAAGCTAAAGGGGAAAGTTATGTGAAGAAGATAATGTATGTAAGGAGTAATTGTGGCATTTTTAGATTTTTAGTGTTAGTTTTTAACTGGAAAAGTTTTCAAATTGGTGTTATGAGTGTGTGTGTGTGTGTGTGTGTGTGTGTGTGTGTGTGTGTGTGTGTGTGTGTGTGTGTGTGTGTGTGTGAGTGTGTGTGTGAAGATGTGAACATGTAAAGATGGACTTTACCTGTTCACCTGTTCTTATATATATATATATATATATATATATATATATATATATATATATATATATATATATATATATATATATA